GAGCCCAAGTTCTCCAACGTAGAAGCCACCGAAATGAGAAGCCTGAGCACAGCTGGACTGTAGCCCCCGCTTGCTGCAACTAGAGAAAGCCCTTGCGCAGCACAAAGACCCAGCACAGCCAATAAATAATTTAATTAAATTTAAAAACCAATCCTAGGAAGTTCCCTGGTAGCCTACCTGTTAGGTTGGTACTTTCAGTGCCATTGCCTGGATTCAATCCCTAGTCTGGGAACTGAGATCTCAGAAGCTGTGAGATATGACCAAAAAAAAGAATTGATATTTTCTCCCATGGTTTAAAGTGTCAGGCTTGTATTGTTCCTGATGTTGTTTTCCACAGAGGAAATTAAGGATTAAGTTCTATTTCCTTCTCCTGTATCTCATCACACATGGCAACTTTCCCTAAAACCCATCCTTTCAATGTAATTACATATACTTTTTAAGTTCAATACTCAGTATTTGCATAGCCATAAATACAATTACTTTCTTCTCTTATGCAATATTTTATTTTCCCTAGAGCCAGTAACTGCATAATTGTTATATTGGCTTACCTTTATTTGTATCTATCATTAGCTCAACTCCCAAACTCTAGGTCTCTTTTTTCTTTATTGAGGTAGGGTTCATGTACAATATTACTAAGTTTGAGGTGTACGGCATAGTGATTCACATTTTCATAGGTTATATTTTATTTAGTTATTATAAAATATTGGGTATATTCCCTGTACAGTACAATATATCCTTGTAACTTATTTGTTTTGGACTGTGCTGCATGGCTTGTAAGATTTTAGTTCCCAAAGCAGGGATCAAACACATGCACCCTGCAGTAGAAGTGATGAGTCCTAACCACTGGCCAAGGAAGTCTCAGTTTATTTTATACATGCTAGTTTGTACCTCGCAATCCCTACTGCTATCTATGTCTTCCATTCAAATCTCCTCTCAGGTCTTCAGAGGCAGCTAGAATGTCATTAGTCTAACCTTGCTCTGAGTTTTTTTTCATTTCTGTTATCATAGTTTTAATTTCCAACAACTCCTTTTCATTTTTGAATACTCTTTTCTCCTTGTTTTGTGTCATGCTTGCTATTTCTTATTCTGTATATAGTATTAATAAGGGCTATATTTACTATATTTTGGATATAGTATAATAAGGGCTTCCCTGGAAGCTCAGCTGGTAAAGAATCCACCTGCAATGCAGGAGACCCCAGTTTGATTCCTGAGTCAGGACGATCGCCTGGAGAAGGGATAGGCCACCCACTCCAGTATTCTTGGGCTTCCCTGGTGGCCTGGATGGTAAAGGATCTGCCTGCAATGTGGAAGACCTGGGTTCAATCCCTGGGTTTGGAAGATCCCCTGGAGGAGAGCATGGCAACCCACTCCAATATTCTTGCCTGGAGAATCCCCATGAGCAGAGGAGCCTAGTGGGCCACAGTCCATGTGGTCACAGAGTTGGACATGACTGAGCAACTAAGCATAGCCCACAGCATATTAACAATTTGATTGATTTTGGTTTTAGCTGACTTCTCTGTTTTTTCTAATCTGCCATTTTGTTTGTTTACTTTGGATTATAGCTTTCACACTAGAGGTGTTTCTCTGTTATTTGGCAATCCTTGGTTATCTACTTAAAATTTAGGATTGGGAAATTTTAAAAGTCATTTGAAGTTGCAAGGGCCTATGTACTTTGACCCTGTGTACTTCACTGAAGGATGACCTGGTTGGTTGAGTCAGTTTCACTGAGGCTCCTTCAATCTCTCCTCTTAGACTGGTCACATTCCCCAGGGAAGCCTCTTCCTATTCTTTACTAGAAAAAAAGGGCCTGGTTGCCAGTATTTTAGAGTTAAGTGACAGATGAAGTCTTGGTACCAGGCATGTGTTTAGTTAAACTGCCTATTTTCTGTAGGGTATTTCTCAGGTCAAGAAACAACAGATAGAATTAGACATGGAACAATGGACTAGTTCAAAATTGGGAAAAGAGTACATCAAGGATGTATATTGTCACCCTGCTTATTTAACTTATAGGCAGAATACATGATATGAAATGCCAGATTGGGTGAAATTCAAGCTGAAATCAATATTGCAGGGAGAAATATCAGTAACCTCAGATATGCAGATACCACCCTTAAGGCAAAAAGTGAAGAGGAACTAAAGACTTTCTTGATGAAGAGAGTGAAAGAGAAGGCTTAAAACTCAACATTTAAAAAACTACGAACATGGCATCAGGTCTGTCACTTCATGGCAAATAGATGGGGAAAAAATGGAAACACTAACAGACTTTATTTTCTTGGACTCCAAAATCACTGTGGATGGTGACGGCAGGCATGAATTAAAGATGCTTGCTCCTTGGAAGAAAAGCTAGGACAAAGCTAGACAGCATATTAAAAAGCAGAGACATAACTTTGCTGACAAAGTTTCAGTTCAGTTCAGTTCAGTCGCTCAGTCATATCCGACTCTTTGTGACCCCATGAATCGCAGCACGCTAGGCCTCCCTGTCCATCACTAACTCCCGGAGTTTACTCAAACTCATGCCCATCGAGTCGGTGATGCCATCCAGCCATCTCATCCTGTCGTCCCCTTCTCCTCCTGCCCCCAATCCCTCCCAGCATCAGGGTCTTTTCCAACGAATCAACTCTTCACATGAGATGGCCAAAGTATTGGAGTTTCAGCTTCAGCATCAGTCCTTCCAATGAGCACCCAGGACTTATCTCCTTCAGGATGGACTGGTTGGATCTCCTTGCAGTCCAAGGGACTCTCAAGAGTCTTCTCCAACACCACAGTTCAAAAGCATCAATTTTTCGGCGCTCAGCTTTCTTCACAGTCCAACTCATACATGACCACTGGAAAAACCATAGCCTTGACTAGATGGACCTTTGTTGGCAAAGTAATGTCTCTGCTTTTTAATATGCTATCCAGGTTGGTCACAACTTTCCTTCCAAGGAGTAAGCATTTTTTAATTTCATGGCTACAATCACCATCTGCAGTGATTTTGGAGCCCAAAAAAATAAAGTCTGACACTGTTTCCACTGTCTCCCCATCTATTTCCCATGAGGTGATGAAACCAGATGCCATGATCTTAGTTTTCTGAATGTTGAGCTTTAAGCCAACTTTTTCACTCTCCTCTTTCACAATTTCATCAAGAGGCTTTTTAGTTTCTCTTCCCTTTCTGCCATAAGGGTGGTGTCATCTGCATATTTGTGGTTATTGATATTTCTCCTGGCAATCTTGATTCCAGCTTGTGCTTCATCCAGCCCAGTGTTTCTCATGATGTACTCTGCATAGAAGTTAAATAAGCAGGGTAACAATCTACAGCCTTGACATACTCCTTTTCCTATTTGGAACCGGTCTGTTGTTCCATGTCCAGTTCTAACTGTTGCTTCCTGACCTGCATATAGGTTTCTCAAGAGGCAGGTCAGGTGGTCTGGTATTCCCATCTCCTTCAGAATTTTCCACAGTTTATTGTGATCCACACAGTCAAATGCTTTGGCATAGTCAATAAAGCAGAAATAGATGTTTTCCTGGAACTCTCTCGATTTTTTGATGATCCAGCGGATATTGGCAATTTGATCTCTGGTTCCTCTGCCTTTTCTAAAACCAGCTTGAACATCTGGAAGTTCTCAGTTCACCATTGCTGAAGCTTGGCTTGGAGAATTTTGAGCATTACCTTACTAGCGTGTGAGATGAGTGCAATTGTGCGGCAGTTTGAGCATTCTTTAGGATTGCCTTTCTTAGGGATTGGAATGAAAACTGACCTTTTCCAGTCCTGTGGCCACTGCTGAGTTTTCCAAATTTGCTGGCATATTGAGTGCAGCACTTTCACAGCATCATCTTTCAGGATTTGAAATAGCTCAACTGGAATTCCATTGCCTCCACTAGCTTTATTCGTAGTGATGCTTCCTAAGGCCCACTTGACTTCACATTCCAGGATGTCTGGCTCTAGGTGAGTGATCACACCATTGTGATTACGTGGGTCGTGAAGATCTTTTTTGTACAGTTCTTCTGTGTATTCTTGCTACCTCTTCTTAATATATTCTGCTTCTGTTAGGTCCATACCATTTCTGTCCTTTATTGAGCCCATTTTTGCATGAAATGGGCTGACAAAGGTACGCCTAGTCAAAGGTATGGTTTTTCCAGTAGTCATGTACAGACGTGAGAATTGGACCATAAAGAAATCTAAGCACCAAAGAACAGATGCTTTTGAACTGTGGTGCTGGAGAAGACTCTTGAGAGTCCCTTCTCCAGCAGGGAAATCAAACCAGTCAATCCTAAAGGAAATCAACCCTGAATATTCATTGGAAGGACTGATGCAGAAGCTGAAGCCCAATATTTTGGCCACGTGATGCAAAGAACTGACTCACTGGAAAAGACTCTAATGCTGGGAAAGACTGAAGGCAGGAGGGGGGGGGTGGGCAACAGAGGATAAGATAGTTGGATGGCATCATCGACTCAATGGATAGAAGTTTGAGCAAACTCCAGGAGATAGTGAAGGACAGGGAAACCTGGTATATTCCAGCCCATGCGGTGGCATAGTCAGACAGGACTGAGCAATTGAACAACAAACAAGAAAACTTGCAACGTAGTTAGTACCACAGAAGGGGCAAAGGAGAGGAGGTTTGTTGTCACGTTAGGGATCTTAGAATCGAAACTGAGTAGAAAAAGGAAGGAAAGAGATGAAGAAGTCAGTAAATAAATTATAATAAATAAATTTTAATAAATAAATTTTAAAATAAATAATAAAAATATATAATAATAATCATTGCAACCATGTAAGTCTGAGACTGCTCAGTTCAGTCGCTCAGCCGTGTCCGACTCCTTGCGACCCCACGGAATGCAGCACGCCAGGCCTCCCTGTCCATCACCAACTCCAGGAGTTTACTCAAATATCCATTGAGTCAGTGATGCTATCCAACCATCTCATCCTCTGTCATCCCCTGAGACGGCTAGGTGAACGCAAAGAAAAGCGGTGAGTAGACGAGATTTCATGAACATAATTTCAGAACTGTAACGCTTTGGCGATGGCAACGCATGACCTCCAACAGCCAGTTTCTCGGTCATTGCGAAGCGAGGTGGTCTGGGCCGGCGACAAGCTGACTGGAAAGTCCCGGCTTCCTCGGACCCTGCCGACCGAGATTGGTCCAGCGACACCCCACCGCCACGGCCCTGCGCGTGCGCAGTGTGAGAGAGTTCGTTGCGCCTGCGCACAACGTCGCCGCTGCCGCCCACTCCGGATCCGACCTCACCGACAGCGGAGCTGAATGGGCTTCCGGGACGCCGTCCGCGGCGAGCAGTTGGCGCTTCCTAGGCGACCGGAACCCCGCTGACTCGTCCTCCTTCGGCCAGAAACCCTCCTCCTGGGCCCGCGCGGGAGGAGTGGGGTCTCTGAGGGAGCGGCGAGCCCGCCGGCCCCGGTCTCTTTCCCTGGCTGCGGCGGCTTCTACCGTAAGACAATATGTTCAAGAGAATGGCCGAATTTGGGCCTGACTCCGGCGGGAGAGTGAAGGTCAGTGCGCGGCCGGTGTCTGCTCTCACGGAGTGTCTTTCTCGTCCTGGCTCTTTCTAGCGCGGCCTGGGCGGGGTCAGCTTGTTCCCTCTCGCTCCTTGTTGCCTCATACTTAAACCTGGTTTTCTAGGAGGGCGGCGACTCAGAGCCCCAAAGGAAAAACTGTGGTTTCATTGGGCCCCGACTTCAGGTGTCACCCCCTCCCTTCCATCCCAGCCAAAATAAACTGACATAATCCGTGGTGCCTGGGGGTGAGATGGACGTCGTCGCCAAGGAAGAAGCCACTTGGAGGGCTGGCAGATCCTGGCTTGGTGTTCCTCCGCTGCTAACCCAGGTCACCTGTAAATCGGGGTCGCGGGGCACCCACCTATTGAGGGATAACAACAGCCGATTCCGCGCTAGGGAAGCACGTGGGTGAATGCTTTACCGGATTCTCTCAGCCCCTATTGCAGCCTTACAAAGGCAGTGTTAACTCCCAGTATTTACAAGTGTGGTAACGATAGAGCTGGCGGAAAGAAAAGTTCCGAAGACGTCCCCAAATTCGTAGTGTTCATAAAGCCTCAAGGCTACGGCCAGGATACTAATTAATCAAGGCAAAGACGATGCCTGGCATATAGACAACAGTCAGTACACGTTATTAGTTTCTTAGTTTGTAATTAAAGTTATAATCGAGCCTAACGTGATGTTTGACACCGTGACAAATTTCCCTCCCACTTTAATACGTTACCTGGCACATTAATTTTTTATGTCAGGACCACTGCTTCGTGATATAACATTGGTTTTTACCCCCTTCAGATTTTTATGTACCACAGAAAGAAAAATTTTTTCAAAAAGAAATCACCCAATTTTTGCACCAATCTAGTTGCTCTAGTTTTTAAGAATCCTTCTCCATGTCATATTGTTCACATAAATTTATGCTGTATATGCAGTTGTCATACACAATGCTTTAATGCTTTAACGTGAGAGCACTTTGAAAGTTTCAAAAGTTACTGAAATTAAATGGAAGGGGAAAGAAGATGGCCAGGTAAAATTAATAGCAGGAGTTTCATAAACATATTTTCCCTCTGCTTTGGGGCCAGATTTTGGAATGATAAGAAAGTACTACAGAAAAGAGGATTATAAAAAGATTGAAAAATAATTTTAAAAAATAAGGGAAAAAAGAAAACAGAAAAGAGGATTATAAGATTAGCTTTCAGAGAAGAACTTAACAGAGCTTTCTCAATTTGTAATCATGTTAGGTTCTAAAAGTCTTGTAAGTCCAGAATGAAGTGAGATTAGGCTTGTAGTCCTCAAATGCTTTTCCTCCAAAAATGGATGTGAGTTAGTCATTTAAAACTTAAAATTAGGGACCTATTTCTTCTCCTTGCTGATTGTTACCTGATCTTGTAAGCACCTTTTTCCAATTTAGATAAATTTCATCCTAGTAGAAAGCCCGCTGACAAATGAATGCCCTTTAAATATTTGGAGACCTCTACAAGGTCCTATCAACACTGGAGCAGTGGAATCTATTATCTACTCACCTTGTCAGTGCTCCTTTGTGTTTATTCATTCAGCCCTTAAAGGTGAGGCCCTATGTTTGTGTGCCCCAAAAGTGCACTTGCTGTGATTTTTTTTTAAATTCCCATGCAAACTGCTTGCCTTCTTCTAAGTTAACTTTAGGCTAATAGGTATTGAATTTATTTGAGGATTGCCTAGTCACAATGAAGTTTTTCCCTTTATGACCAACCTACTGTATAGCAGGTGCAAGTCTCCCAGCCTCAATGGGAGGAGAGTTTGGGGAAGAATGGATACATGTGTAAGTATGGCTGAGTCCCTTTGCTGTTCGCCTGAAACTATCAAACATTGTTAATCGGCTATACCCCAATACAGAATAACAAGTATAAAAAAAAAGGAAAGAAAAAGTTTTTCTATTTGTTCACCACTTTTCCTCTTCTTATTACTTGATTACATTGGCCCAGCACTTTTTACATATGATATATCTTGGTCTTGACCTTCAGGTACATTCTTACTATTGAGCAGTTAGTCTCAAGTTCATGTGCAACATTCAGCATTTTCTCCTGAAATTTTTTTTCTCTCTCCTTTTCATCATAATCTGCCTTTACAGTTCTGAAATGTGCACAGAAACAGGTACATGCATCACAGAACTGAGCACAAAGGCAGCAAACATGCCGTTAGTCAAGTGTTTATCAAGCTTGAGTCCTCCAAGTGCCTCTGCCATTATCTGAATTCAAATGTAATATTTAACTTGTTTGTTTAAATCTAATTTTTAAAGTCCCTTCCTAAGCATTACTGTTCTTGAAATTGTGATTTGAATTGCTAGTTGTAGTTGTGGTTTTTCTAATACAGATTAAAGTAAGCACAAGTAATAAAATGAAAATGCTTCCCTTATTCTACCAAAAAATTATCTTCCAGACTGCCTTTAATTTTTGTACTGTGCTTTGGAAAACCCTGCTGTAAGCTGATTAATAAGGACATTACCATCAGGTGATGACAATCAAAGTTAGTGACTATTAATTCCTGGTTGGTCTTTAAAGTTTGTAAATAAAGAACCTTTTCTGTTTCTTTATTTAAAAAAAAAACCAGAGCAAAAATAGAAATTCTCAAAGTACCTTATATGATTTAAATAGACGTTTTCAAAGTGGGAACATTATAATTACTGTGATGTTTAGTTATTTGTGGTAATATAAAATGAGTCTAATTGTCTGGAATTGATTTTATTAAGGGAAATCCATGGTCTATGCAAACCTAGGTTGTTAGGCTGCCTGCCGCTTCTTTAATCAGGCTTTCAAAGCTTTCCTTCTCTTTATTTGGGTAATGATACAATATTAATTTATGTTGAAATTGTTTTTCTTTTAGGGTGTTACTATCGTTAAACCAATAGTTTATGGTAATGTTGCTCGATATTTTGGAAAGAAAAGAGAAGAAGATGGGCACACCCATCAGTGGACAGTATATGTAAAACCATATCGAAATGAGGTGAATATTTCTTTTTCCTAAAACCTTTTTGAAGCTATGGTTTGTTTTGCTTGAAGATAAATTGTAATATCATTTTCTAGTAACTGATAATAAAATTGTCCCATTGTAGGATAATCAACAAGGTCCTACTGTGTAGTCCTTGGAACTCTGCTGAATGTTGTTGGGAGGGGAGAATGGGTCCATGTATATGTAAGGCCGAGTCCTTTCACTGTTCACCTGAAACTATCATAGCATTGTTAATCAGCTTTACTGCAGTACAGAATAAAACATTTTGTTAAAAAAGAAATTGCCCATTGTAGAAATGTTACCCCATAAGTTGAAAGAATAAAGTTAAGAGCTGTCATCTTTGTACGCTTGTTAGTAGAAATCAATTTTCCAAAACTGTTTTCTAATTAAAATTAAGTTATGAGCTTCCCTGGAGGCTCAGTGGTTAAGAATTCACCTGCTAATGCAGAGAAGGTGGGTTCGGTCCCTGGGTCGGGAAGATTCCCTGGGAAAGAATTGAAACCCACTCCAATATTCTTGCATAGGAAAGCCCATGGACAGACGAGCCTGGCAGGCTATGGTCTGTGGGGTCGCAAAAGAGCTAGACACAACTTAGTGACTAAACAACAACAATGATGGTAACAAGAACTATCCTGTATACATAGTATGTCTTCTAATCACCACCCCTTAAGGTAGCCTAGTATGTAATCACGTGTTTCAGGAATGATAAATTTAAGTTATAATTTGATAATCAGAGAAGATGAAAGACAAAACTGCTGCATAATCTGGCTGCTGGTAGTTTGGTTTTGTGGCTGAATCTCTACTGCTTGGAATGCTGTCAGTACATAGTAGGTATTCAGTAGGTACTGAATGAATAAGTATTCCTCTGTTTAAAACCCTTCATTCTGTATGTCCGCTGTTTTTGATCCAATATAGTGGAAGCAATAAGGCAAGTGAGAATTTATGTTATCATTGTAATCATTTGTCACCTTCTGGAAACATCTGAAAAAGCATTTATAGGCGTCATGAAGAGATGTTAACTTCTGAAAAGTTGAAAATGGTGCCAAATACCACAGGATAGATGCATAGCTTGATAGTGATAAAGGTATCCTGCTTCAAATACTTTTACCACATGTAAGAGAGAAGAATTTTGGACTTATACTTTATCAAGGAGGGGGCACATTTTGTGAAGGAATTTAGTAACTATTCAAAATAACTTTATAGTGTCAGTTTTAAGGGTCGTCTTCCCAGTAACCCCACACTGTGTTCAGTCATGTTTAATAAATTAAGAGATGATCAATTTAGAGGTAAATAAAACACAATATGCCACACATTAAACTGCCATATAGGACAGTTTATAGTGACTCAGCTCAGTATGTGCATGCTAACTTGCTTCTGTCGTATCCAACTCTTTGCAGCCCCATGGACTAGCCCTCCAGGCTCCTCTGTCCATGGGATTCTTCAGGCAAGAATACCATAGTGTGTTGCCATGTCCTTCTCCAGGGGGTCTTCCACACAGGGATCGAACCCACATCTCTTATCTCCTGCACTGGCAGGCAGGTTCTTTACCACTAGCGCCACCAGGAATGCCCACATAAAACTCAGTGCAGCCACAATTTAAAGGTGACTCGTTGAATGTAGGCCTCCTGAGTTGAAATTAAGCAAAATACAGCACAACAAGTAGTGATGCAACCCAAAGTTATCTTAATTTCAAGGGCAAAGAAGATTCTAGTTGACCTTTGATTTCTGTTTATCTTTTCTTGGTATTTTTCACCAAAAGACTAAATTAAAATAGTGAAACCAACTAAGCTTGATAATGTTTCTTCTTTAGCATTTATACTGTCCTGTATTAAACAAAATTAAAAGACAAAAAACTTTCAAAGTCCACACAAAAACTTGTATGTAAATATTCATTGTGACATTATTCATAATTTTCCAAATGTCTCCAAACTGATAAGTGGATAAATAAAATATGGTGTATTCATACAGTGAAATATTATTAAGCAATAAAATGAAGTAATGATACATTCTACTACCACATGGAAGAAATGTACTTGTTTTTATGGGAAAATAAAAACCAATTTTGAGTATTGTCAACAGAGATACATCAAATAATACTCAAAGGTACATAAACATAGGATTTGCAACACAATGAATAGAGGCATATATATTTATATATATGATGAATTATGAAAGAATCTGGCACAAGCTTCCTTTGTTTAAAATAAAAAACAAACCTCCAGGTTGTAATTCATATTTCTTAGGCATTTCTTATCTATAAAATTAGTACATATGCTCAATGTATTTCCCTCCTAATTTTTGTATGTAGATGGCAGAACTAATTAATTCCTCTGTATTTTAGGATATGTCAGCATATGTAAAGAAAATCCAATTTAAATTACATGAAAGCTATGGCAATCCTTTAAGAGGTATAGTAGTTCTGTGATTCATAATATACAAAATTTAAAAGAACTAGGAAACAGTATCAGCAGTTTAAAATTCTGAATTGTTTTCTTTTTTCTTTCTTTTAGTTGTTACTAAGCCTCCATATGAGATTACTGAAACAGGATGGGGTGAATTCGAAATAATCATCAAAATATTTTTCATTGATCCTAATGAAAGACCTGTGAGTAATGTTACTCTTTGTAGATATAAAATGGATTTTTTAGTAATTGTGAAAATGTAATAGTATATTACACAACATATACAAGCTGTATGTTGACATTTATTTATTGAGGTATACTTTATATAAGTTTATGTCTTATTATATCTTGCCATGCATTAAGGTTTTTCTTTTTTAAATGAAGTGCCTTTCAAAAATCTTTTATTTTCCAAGTATAAAAAGAAGGAATATGGTACAAACAGTTATTTGAAAGAATTCATAGGAATTATACGATTATTACAGCCAAAAAAAATGTCTTAAATTCATTAGTATTTTTTGGTTATTAGTAATAAACAAGTTGAGTCCATATACTCTCTGAAATGGGAGTGTCCAGTTTTTTAGTTAAAAACCCTAGAATGCCTTTTTACTTTTTCAAACTGTCATCAGTACTAGCAGCTTTATCTTATTCATGATTCCTTTCATCATTTGCTCCCTTCTTCAGATTGTTGCTAGATAATGTAAAAAGTCCCAAAAGTTTTCACTTTGAGCCCTTAGCAACTTGGTGAGGTTGGTGAGATCCTTGTTTTAGAGATGAGGATACTAAAGCTCAGAGATAAAGTCTTGTGCTCAAAAATACAGTTAATTGTGGTAGAGCTAGTTTTTGAACCTGTGTATTTGCATTCAGATGTCATACTCTTTCCTTTATTCTTTTGACTAAAACCACTAAGCCTGTTTTATTGTTAAACACAAAGAGTTAGAAGTCAGGCTGTTTCATTGCACATTTGTATGGCCCCACTTTCAGGGTTTTAACATTCATCATCATCACTTTTCATCTTGATAGATTGAATTCACTCCTTCAGCACCATTTACACTTTAATTATCCGATTATATTTGTAAAACTGTGTGCTTTTAAAGAAGTTGAATAGCACCTGGGCCAGTGATACAGCTGTAACTAACTACACCAGAAATGCCTGAGGTGTTTTTTAGAAGTTCAGACACCTAGTCCCCATTCTCTGGATGGTGATTCATAGGTTTGGAGAGGGGTCAGCAGGTAATTTTGATGCACAGTAAGCTTTAGGACCAGTTGACGTAGACCACTACATAGAAGTTTCCTTTAGCTGCTCCAGTATAGTAAAAGAAGACTGACTTCCATCATGAAGTGAAACATCCTGTTCAGATTTGGAGAAGTTCTAGCTTTCAGAAAGTTCTACTTTATATTAAGCTTCCTTGAACTTTTTCTATGATAACTATTCATAGATTAGTTTGTTTTTATTTTCCTCCTGAAGATCCATCTAAATGGTTATTTAAATATCTTCCATGTGGTAACGTTTCGGTATCTCCTACCATTCTTGTCTTTCTGAGATACTCTCACAGATACTCTATTTGGCAAAAAATTATTAAATATATTTGCAAGATACTTCTCTTGGGGCAGGATACAAAGATCAGACACTGCACCTATCCTTGATCAAAACCGTCTGTTTGGGAATGTAGAGCACAGAATATGGCAGATATTGAGAGATGGGAGAGGGAGAAGTTGTTAATGTTGTTAGAGCTGAGGTTCTTGTTAACGTAAGGTTGCTTTGAATTCATGTTATTTTGAGAATGTGCTGCTTTACCTGTCTGCTTCCTCATCTGTTTCCCCCATCTCACCTCCCTGCCCCTCCTTGGAAAATACATCTCTGAAAGAAATCATTATATCATGTAACCTCATTATGAGACAGCTGTCAAAGTCTACTCTTGAGAAGGGAAGGTAATACATTCTCTTGCACTTCTGCAGTGATTAATTTATTGATAAGTTTTCATGTAGATCTACATGGACCTGAATTTTATCCACTCCAAACTGTTCTTGTGTTCTTTTAGTATAATGAAACTATTATAGTTTTTCAGTTGACTCTTATAGAAAATAAGTCATATGAAGATTTATTTAAATTATAAAAGAAAGACATGGGTAACTTGTGATTTGCTTCCATTATCCAGTAACCTATTACAGGTCAAGCCACTATGTAAAAGGAATGGTTGTTTCTAAAAGCAAAAATACTAATAGTAGGGTTTTATTCCTAGAAATATTGCCAGCAGATATAGGCATTTTCATTGCTCTAAGAGTCTTCAAGCATCAGTGTAAATTAGAGACATCTGTCTTGAAATTTTTCATTGTTTGTATCTGCCTGAATGCCTCGCGAAATCTGAATAAGTTTGGGAAAGGGCAGTTTTATAATGTAGTTTTCAATACTGCTCAAATTATAAAACACATAATATATAGTTTTTAAAAGATTAAAAAATAAAATGTGCAAGCTTCCTGTATTAGGTTCCTATGGCTGCCATAACAGTATCACAAACTGAATGGGTAAAAACAGCAGCTTGTTCTCTTGGTTCTGGAGACTAGAAGTCCAGTTTCAAGGTGTCGGCCATGCTCTCTCCAGAGCCTCTGGGGAGGACCTTTTCCTGCCTCCTCTAGTTTGTGGTAGCCACAGGCGTTCCTTGGCTGTGGCAGCGTAACTCCAGTCTCTGCCTCCATTGTCACATGGCCGTCTCTCCCTCCCCATCTCTGTGTCTCTCCCGTTTTTATGGGGACATCAGTCATATTGGACTAGGGCCCCCACAAGGCTTCATCTTGGTTACGTCTGCAAAGACTCTGTTTGCAAATATGGTCACATTCACAGGTATTGAGGATAAGTATAGATACTTCACTATCTTTGGGGGGATATAATTTAACCCCATAACATAGAAGTTACCCCATTTCTGACCCCTTCTTCAGGAGAACGACAGTTACTGTTTTCAGTTCCTCTAGGAATTAACTCCCATGTATCTGATGTATTTAAATCCCTAAGTTCGGATTTTTCAATTTTAGATAGTGTCTCAACTTCTGAGGATGACACATGATCCTTTATCTTCATATTTCTTTTTTCATTTTGCTGGAGGAATTTCTTCAGAAAGGATGCCTGAGAAATTTTCAGAGCAAAATTTTTATTTTGCTCTCTAAAAATATCTTTATTTTTACTTCATACGTGATTGATTGGGTGAGGAATTCTAGGATCCACAGGAGGATATGCTCTCTTGTCTGTGAGTAAAAGGAAAAGGAAGATTAACCAATCCAGCCACCCAAAGCATTCTTGATTTGTACACCTGCCAATTTTGGGCTTTCAGTCTCTCTCGGGCTCCACTGGGGCCACTGTCTCTCACCTCTGATGCCGTTTTCTTCCCTAAGTTTTTAGGCTGTGGATTTCCCCATTATGGGTTATCAATTGGTGTAGTCTCATCTGCTTTCTGTCATCCCAGAAATTTTTGAAATTATCTGCTTTAAATATGATGCCTACTTTTTATGATGATTTTAGCTGACTTTTTGGAAAATTCTTCAAGGCATCTCAATTGGTTCTCCAACTTCAGCATGAACTCCTGATGTTTTACCTGCTAGATTTTGTTTTGTTCAAATAATCATACATTGTGCTACACAGCTTTTCCATTGATGTCTTATTATATCTGTTTCCAAGTATTTTGAAGAGAGGTTGCTCTTGCTGAAGTGAATTATCAGTGGCTAACTTTTCATTTATTATGCTACTTATGTTATAATCTTAATATTACACTAGAGAAATTAACTTGTCCTTTAAAACTTGAGTATTTTAGTATTGATCATTCCTTTTGAAATCAAATCTTTTTTCCTCAAAGTGAATTTGTAAACTTTACCTGTCACAGTTAAGCGAATTTCATTTGTATAAGTAAAAGATTTTTTGTCTTAGTGATTTCCCAGTTTAATTTGCATAGCCGTATCTTGTGTTATTTTTATATATAGTCACTCTCTGGAATGCTTTGTAGCCAGTCTTTACTTATCCTCTTTGTAGCATACATATTGAATAGATATAGATACATGTTAATACCTAATAGGAAAATAAAAGTACAGACAGTTCGGATGATCTGCCACTGTAAGTTGTAGTTGAGACAAGATCCTGAATTTGATAGATTTACTGCTTTACTTTAGTAGTTACTTCTGTAACTGTAAATCAGAGAAATGATAATCTCACATGATGATGATAAGAACCATCCACGGATGTCATATCTGTTTTTATTTCACAGGTAACACTGTATCATTTATTAAAGCTGTTTCAGTCAGACACCAATGCAATGCTGGGGAAAAAAACAGTGGTTTCAGAGTTTTATGATGAAATGGTAAGAAGATTTTATAATGAGAGTTTTTAAAGAATTTTCAATTTGTAGATTTTGAAGTTACAGGGCTTTTTTTTCCATTCTGTCTCATTAGATATTTCAAGACCCGACAGCAATGATGCAACAATTATTGACAACGTCTCGTCAACTTACCTTAGGAGCCTATAAGCATGAAACAGAATGTAAGTGCCATGAGTTTATAATTAATCCTGAATAATAATGTATTCAGTGATGATGAAAGGATTGTATGATAAGTGACTATTAAATTTTTTTATTATGTATAGGTAAAATTTTTAGGAGTTAGAAAACAAAATATGTATTACTAAAGAACAGATAAGAAGGATGCTTTAAATAGTTCTCAGAATAGGCCAACTTTCATAAAGGTAAAAGATAGCTGCTCACACTCTCTGAAATACTGTTTGTCTTTTATTCACTAATTCCATTTAAGTGTAGCTTGTCATTAATCTTGGTTAACCTATCACTCAGTCATTTTCTGTGTGTACTAGTCTTGGCTAATGATTAGTCTGAAGAACCTTGCAGGATATTATAGTTTAGTGTACTGTGATTAGCATCTCTCTCTCTCTCTACACAACATTTCATGCAGCTGTATCAATCATTTGTATTTTTCATTCAAGATGAAACCTATTTACCAACCCCATGTTGACATTTATGTCACCATTTATTCAGTTGTTCCTTTGATCTTTCATTTATTTGCTTACAATATATACTGAGCACCAGTACTACCCCAAGCATTGTTCTAGGTTCAGAAGATAAAGCAGTGTCTAAACCAGACAAAAGCCCGGTCTTCGTGGAGCTTACATTCTAGTGGAAGGAAGAGAAATATTCAATAAATAGAACAAAAAAACGTTAGGTGGTGACTGGATGGCACGGAGAAACCCAGAGCAGGTGAGGGCGTGCTGCTGGTGCAGGGAGGTGATTAGAGTTTTACATATCAGGTCGGAGCATGCTTCCTGAAGTTGTGGCGTTTGAGCAAACACCAAAAGGAGTGGGGAAATGAGGCCTGCAGCTGCATGAGGGAGGGATGCTCTGTGTAGAGGAGCAGCAAGGGCCGGAGCCCTGAGGTAAGCGCAGGCTTGGCGTACCCGAGGAACAACAGAACGGCCAGCGAAACTGGAGTCGAGGGAACACGGAGTGGGATGCGAGGCCAAAGAAGCCAGAAGTTAATAGAGGACCAGGTCAGACAGGGTCGTATGGGTAACCGTAGGACATTAGAGTTTTAAACTGAAGGAGATGTGAAGGTTTTCTGTGGGTTTTGAGCAGCAAAGTGACATTATAAGAGTAACATTTTCAAAAGCCCAGTCCCCTGGTTGCTGTGTTGAGAGTAGATTGTAGACCAGAAGAGCAGAAGGGGAGTGGTTAGGGGGCGCTGCAGTCGCCCAGGTGTGACCGAGCTGTGAGTAGCGCCAGTGGCTGATGGTTTAAGATGTGAGAGGAGGAGGTGTATTAGTACACAGCATGACTCTTAAGGTTTGGAGCCCAAAGAAGGAAATGAAGAAAAAGTTTTTTCATAGAGATGAAAGTCTGGGAGGGGCAGCTCTGAGGGGAAAGGTTAGGCGTAAAGTTTGTATGTGATGGGTGTGAAATGCCTCTAAAGACATGTAAGTGGAGATGTTGAGAAGGGAATTGTACTCCAAAGTCTGGTATTCAAGGAGGGGTCTTGGCCTATAGATGGACTTATAAATTGTGAGGCCATATGGTATCAATAGAGTAAGTGAAGATAAACAGGTTCAAGGATTGAGCCCTGGGCTTTCCCAAATTTAGAGATTAAGGAGATGACTGGCTAAGGAAATTAGTAAAAAAAAAAAAAAAAAAAGATGTGAGTGTGGAGGGAGTAAAGCTAGGTGCACATAATACCCTAGAGCCAAGTGAAGAAGGTTCATCAGGAAATAGTCGTTAGCTGTGTACCTCTTCTTGGGCAAGTAAGATAAGAGCCAGGAAATAGGCGATACCAACATGAAATTCCTTGGTGACCTTAATGGGTCAGTTGAAGGATAATAGTAAGGACAGAACATCAGTTGAAGTGGATCTAGAGAGCGAGAGATGAGACACTGGAGCCAGGTGCTGTGGATAAGCCTGTCCTGGAGTGTGACCTGTAAAGGGAAGGTAGCTCCTGAAGCCGTAGCGGGAGCAGGGTCTGGGGTCCAGGGGCCAGCGTTCTCCCGGAAGTGTAGGTGTAGGCTGAAAGAAGTGATCCAGTAAAAGAAAGGGGTGGGGGGGTGAGAATGCAGGGGGCAGAGGTCACTGTTTAACCATTAATGGTTCCAGTAGTGTTTTGTTTGTGTTTTCATGAAACCCATGACTGGGAGTTAAATGATCTGAATACTGATTAAAATTGCCACTTGGTAGTCATTTAAAATTTCACATCACACTCATTAAAAGGATTTATGCTTCATTTTCTACATATGAAAATATGGCCTACTTTGTTGTGAAGATAAAACAAATGTATATGATCACTTCAGAAAGGTAAAAAGCACTAGTAATATGCTGTTTCAATTTGTTACTGGTCATTTTCTCTTCATTATAACTCTTTCTCCCACTTCATATTCATAGAGGAAAATTCTCTTAAAATTCAAGTGCCTGCATTTCTATGTTTTCAACAAGACTAGTATCATTAATTCATATATGTGTAATAGTAAAAACAAATGTGTTTTATAAAAAGACTTTTCCACAAACTACTTTTGCTATATTAAAGCTTATATGTGGAGCTTTATGACCCTGGAAAGTTGTTGTTTTTTGTTTTTTGTTTTAGTTTATTTTTTCAAGGCGGTTGGGTGGCCGACATTATCCCTGCTCACCGTGTGCACTCGCTTCGCCGACTGGCGTGACCTAAAACCTCCCCCCAGGCCCCAGGCACGATCTGCTCCAACCCCCAGCTCCCCCTACGCCTGGCTTTTGTGCAGAGCCCCTGACTTGCTCACGTGTTAGACTCCTTGGTCCGTGTTTCAAATTTATTTTTGGCTGCGCTGGGTCTTTGTTGCTGCAGGAAGTCCTTCCCCGATTCCAGCAAGTGGAGGTTACTTTTCATTGCAGGGCATGGACTTACTGCAGTGGCGTCTCTTGTTGGGGAGAGAGGCTCTAGAGCACAGCCTCAGTAGTTGTGGAGCATGCGCTTAGTTCCCCACTGCATGTGGAAGCTTCCCATACTAGGGGTCTGCATGTGTCCCCTGCATTGGCAGCTGGATTCTTACCCACTGGGCCACTAGGGAAGCCCCAACCTTGGGAAGTTTTTATTAGTAAACTGCATTTTTTGTATTATCTTGAGGTTATTTTCTTAACAGCATCAAATCTATAAGGAAGAAAAGGATAATTCTATAAATGGTATTGGCACAGTTGATAACTTTTGAAAAAAAAAGTTAATTTAGATCATTGCTTCATAGCACTTAATCAATTCCAGTTTAATTAATGATAGTTAATTGTTTTTTGAGGTTTTTTGCCATACCATATGGCATATGGCCAAGCAAGGATCAAACCCATGCCCCTTGCACTGGAAGTGCAGAGTCTTAACAATTGGACCACCAAGCAGGTCCCTAAATTTTTTTTTTATATCAATTAACCTGTTTAAAAAGTTAGAGAAATGACTGTCTGTCCTGGCTAGGGAAGACTTTCTAAATTTGAGGTGTTAGAAGAAATTACATTGAAAGACAAAAAATGTCTTTTGCAAAAGATATGTAACTTATGCATTTCAAAAGGGCAAAAAAAATAGATTTTTGGAAAACATGACAAAGGATTAATATCTGTAAAACTCTTAAAAAAACAGAATATAGTTTTAAACTTCAGTTGATAAATGGACAAAGGAGTGGACAGGGAGAAGAAAGATGATTAGTAAATAAAAAGAAAAATATTTGACCCTCCTAGTAATTTTTAAAATGCAAACCAATAATAATGGATGGCTATATTTGTATCAAATATGCAAAGGAAATCTTTTATAGTTGTACCTAGTAAGGATGTGGTGAACACTGTCTTCTCACGAATTGTTTATGTGAATAGGCCTTTTAGAAAAGCAATTTGGGAATACTAATCAAAGGTGTAAAAAAAGATAGATGCACTTTTACCAGTTTGAGAATATTATACTCAATATTTGGTAATATCAGATTTGTTGAGTACTTGCCATTTGTACTTTTCTAATCTGTACATGTATAAGCTCATTTATATTTATAATAACTTTTTTAGGTAATCTGTTTAGAAAAGGAAACTGAGGCACACATTGGTAAGAAACTTGCCCGCATTAATACGAGTTAGTGGTACAGCCCAGTCTCCTAGGCAGTCCTCAAAACTTAGGGTCTGAAAGCATTGTAATATTTGTAGATAGAGTAATAGGATAGAGGTTGCTCATTATAAAGCACACTCAAAGTTTATAAAGATATTTATACTGGTAAACCTGCAGAAATTGACTTAAGCACTAATGGTCTAGCTTTAAATAGAAGTTGCTTCTACAGGGAATAACTAAACTGATATTGAACGCTTAATAGAGCTTATATGTACTAGATAAGTGCTTTATATTTCTTAAGTGAAGTGAAAGTTGCTCAGTCGTGTCTGACTGTTTGCAACCCCATGGACTATCTAATCCATGGAATTCTCCAGGCCAGAATACTGGAGTGGGTAGCCTTTCCCTTCTCCAGGGGATCTTCCCAACCCAGGGATTGAACCCAGCTCTCCTGCATTGCAGGCAGACTCTTTCCCAGCTGAGCCGCAAGGGAAGCCCTTAGGAATTCCCTTAATAGCCCTCAGAGGGAGGTACCACCCTTAACCCCGTTTTGCATAGAGTTTTGATCTTGCCCCAAATCACTCAGCAGAGCCAGGATTTAAACCCACACAGTCTGTGCTCTTAACCAATAAGCTGTTGTTTCTCTTTGTAAAAAGTCTTACAATCTGTGCTTCTAACCAGTGTGTTACATTCGCTTTGCAAAACTAATAATTCTTCTTTGGATTGATTTACTATAAATTGAGGCTTCATTTGGAGTTTAAAATAGAAATTTTATATATATTTATATATGCTACAGCCCATGGAATTTCAAAGAATCGGACATGACTGAACACATACACGTACATACATACACACACGTGTGTACGTACATACATACACAGACACACACATCTTAAATGTATGTGTAAACATTTAGTATATAGGAAGCAGAAAACTAGAACAAGTTTTTAAATGTTCTAGGATCTCATCATTAATTAACCCATTTCTCCAGTATATGGTACTCTTGGCAGTTTGATTTGTCAAAAAGAGTATGATGACTAAATCAAAGAACAAAGATCTATATCTACAATGAACTCTTGTCTCTGACAGATGAGTTAAAGTAAGTCTTCCTGACTAGATTTAAAGCTACCTGTTACAGTCATAAAGTCCTGTTGTTTCCCAAATCTTTCTATACTGTCTCTAAGGCCTACTGTGTCCCACTTCATCTAATTCCTATCTTACTCTTTAAAACTCAGTTCAGATTTTACTTCTGCCAAGAAGCATTCCTTGATATATATATACACACTCCTTCCCCTTGGTATGAATCCGGTCTGCTTTATAGCTCTCTTGATTACCTCATGACACTGTCCTGCATTTTTCTTTCTTGTCTGTGTCCCAGCCTCCAGCAATGTGCCTCTCACGCTGCTGCTGTTTAGTCGCTCAGTCGTGTCCAACTCTTCGTGGCTCCGTGGACTGTAGCCCACCAGGCTTTTCTGTCCATGGGGGTTCTCTCGGTAGGAATACTGGAGTGAGTTGCCATGCCCTCCTCCAGAGGATCTTCCCAACGCAGGGATAGAACCCAGCTCTCCCTCATTGCAGGCAGATTCTTTGCCATCTGAGCCACCAGGGAAGCCCAGAAGTCCATGGGATTTCACAGGCAGGAATATTGGAGTGGGTTGCCATTTCCTTCTCCAGGGGATCTTCCCAGCCCAGGGACTGAGCCTCCCTGTCTTTCATCTGCTGCGTTGCAGACAGAGCCTTTACACGGAGCCTCCGGGGAAGGCTGCTTTCTCTGTGTGTGTATCTTCTAACTGATATGGAGAGAGTAGGGGGGCAAAGGGGGAAACATTTCTGCATTGTCAACCAAGTCTAAAGACAGACAAGCCATGAAAAGAAATGTTGTACTTCTATCACAAATGACTTGTTTCTTTTCTATGTAAAGAGCTCCTGCACATCATTTTAAAAGGCCAATAACCAGTAAATAAAAAGCTTCAGAGCAAAAGAAAACATCAACAAAATTAAAAGGAAACCTACTGAATGGGAGAAAATATTTGCAAATCATGTATCTGATAAAGAGTTAATTTCAAAAATATATACAAAACTCATACAGCTCAATGGCCAAAAAAAAAGCATACAATTCAATTAAAACTGGACAGAAGAGCTAAATAGATATTTTTTCAAAGAAGACATGCAGATGGCCAACAGATATCAAAATATGCTCAGTATCACTTATCATCAGGGAAATGCAGATCAAAACCACAAAGATATTATCCCATGTCTGTTAGAATGGCTGTTATCAAGAAGACTGGAAATAACAAGTATTGGCAAGGATGTGGAGAAAAGGAAACCCTTACTCAGTATTGATTGGTGCAGCCACTATGGAAAACAGTGTGGAGTGTCCTCAAAAAATAAAAGTAGAACTACCATATGATCCAATAATTCCACTTCTGGATATGGCTCTGCAGAAGAAAAAAAAAAAACCACTAACTTGAAAATATATATACATCCCATGTTCATTACAGCATTATTTACAATAACCAAGATAGGAAAACAACATAAGTGTCCATCAATAGATGACTGGATAAAGAAGTGTTTTTATACACACACACATACGTACATACATACATATATACACATGCACACACACACACACAATGGAATAATATTCAGCCATTAAAAAGAAGAAATCTTTCCATTTGCATCAACATGGATGGACCTCAAGGGCATTATGCTAAGAGAAATAAATCAGAGAAAAACAAATACAGTGTAATCTTATTTATATGTAGACTCTTAAAAAAAAAACTCAAAAATAACAGATTAGTGGTTGTCAGAGGTTGGGGTTGGAGGGGGCGTGGCCAAAAAGGTGCAAACTTCTAGTTATAACTAAGTGGTGATGTGATTTACAGCATGGTGACTATAGTTAATAATATTATATTGCATGTTTGACAGTTGCTGAGAGAGTAGATTTTAAAATTTCCCCTTACAAGAAAAAAAATCCGTAACTATATATGGTAACAGATGTTAACTTCAGACTTACTGTGATGATCATTTTGCAGTATATACAAGTATTGACTCATTATGTTGTACACCTGAAACTAATATGTTGTATGTCAATTATACCTCAGTTTTTAAAAAGGCAGGGGCCAGTAACCTAATAGAAAACAGAGGAATGGATAAATAGGCAGTTCATAAAAAGAAAGGGAGAAATATCCCCTAAACATATTAAAAGATTATCAATCTCAGAAGTAATAGAAGTGCAAATTAAAATTATTCTGAAATATAATTTTTAACCTTCTAGATTATTTAAGACCTAAAAGTTGATGCAGACATACTATGCCAGTGAGATTATAAATTAATAATAGAACCTCTAAGAGTCACTTGCCATTCTTCCAAAATTACAAGCACAATTATTCTTCAACCTAACAATTACTATTTACAGGAAATTATCACACAATTTTCAGCCTTTTAATTTTGTATCAGGTGTACTATTTTCAAAAATAATTTTAAAAATAAAAGCAATGAAAAATTACAAAGAAAAATGTGGATTGTTTTGGCAGTGTAAAAGTTTAGCTCTGTTACAAAATGTGTCACAAAGAGAAAGTCACCAGCAGTGAGTACAATAAGAACACATTGTGTTCTTTATTTTTCTTTATTTTATATTTACTTTATTATATTTATAAATTATTTATATATTTTATATTTCTATATTTATTAACATGCTGGATGCTTTTTACATGTATTACTTAATCCTAAATCCTCTGTGAAATACAAAGTTTTAACTGTATTATATAGAAAGAAGAAATGAAATGAGAGAGATATCAGCATTCAGCTAGTAAGGCACCAGGGGTGTATTTGAACTCAAGTCTTTCTGATTTCAAAGGGTTTTGGGTTTTTTTCCTTCAATCCATGCTGCTTCCAGCTAGTGATCATTTTACATTAACAAAAGTACAACTGTGCCTTAACAGTCATCAGCAGCAATTACCTGAAATGTCTACAAGGTGGAAATGTTGGGTGATAGTAGACGTTTTTTTCTCTATAAAACATGGTACTACACTATCCAAGTGGAATATTTAAATAAATACAGTCTATTTTGCAGTAATGATATTTTTCTTTAGTAATTTGTTATGTAGCCTGCTAGAATGTTTAATGTTCCTCTGTCATAATAGTATTTAATATGTTTTTTATGTGCCAGATGATACTAATTTTAAATCTTTTAAGCAAATAATATCACAAGGTGTTTGCAATTATAATCTGTATTTTAGAAATGAGGAAATGAGGATGGAGATTAAAAAAATAGCTTATTCAGAGTGGCACAGCTAGTAGAGCTAGAATTCAAGCCTAGACAGTTACTACTCTGTTTTGAAAAAAAGATAAGGTTTACCAGTGTGATTTTGTTTATGTAAGTTTTACCTGTACATAAATTTAAGAATACTCTTTTTAGTGAAGTCTTATTAGTTGGAAGTCTCTTGGACTATATACTCCCTAATTTCCAAATTAATATGTAAATGGAGAAAAACAAGGACATTATGTCTTAAAATCTTAAGTGTGAATTAAAATACTAGTGGCCCGAATTTTATTCTTTGTGATAGAAAACATCTTAGATCCTCTCTTGAGAGTTCAGAGTTTCTCACCCACCCTCCTGTGTTTAAAGTTACATATCTTAAGTTGTTTGCATTTCATCATGGAAACGTTGACCTAATGGAATGTCACATTTGTTACTCTGTGACATATCTCGGACATATGAGAAAAATGCAATAAATTTGTAACAGTCTGTTTTCTTTAGTTGCAGAACTTGAAGTGAAAACCAGAGAAAAATTAGAAGCTGCCAAAAAAAAAACAAGCTTTGAAATTGCAGAGCTTAAAGAGAGATTAAAAGCAAGTCGTGAAACTATAAATTGTTTAAAAAATGAAATCAGGAAACTGGAAGAAGATGATCAGACAAAAGAAATATAAACAGTTCTGAAGACAACTTGATAGTAAGCTAAGCTGAAAATAAGGTGGACTTTAAAGGAGAGATGGACTACAAATGCACTGTTTCTAAGAGGAACTTTGTATATGGTTGTCGAGCATGGATTTTTCAGCAATGGAGTCAAAGTATTTGTACTTTACCAGCAATCTTTAATGTGAAATATATGTGTATAATAAGAATGAATGGTGTATAGGTATTTTACCAACCCATTTCGGAGTAGTTCTGTGATGTTAAGCACAATTTTAAAACATTTTTATTGCATTGTATGTATAGCTTACCCGTTTGACAGGCATTGAAATTTCATTATAAAGTATAACTTGTACAAATTTTGTACTTCCCCTAGTAGTTAGAATTAGTTGTAAAATTAATGTGTATATTAAATTTTTACCTCCCCCAACCCAGCTCTTTTGTATCTGATGTGCCCAGTGTCCAGTAAGCACTGAATAAATGTAGTCTGCATATGCTGTTTCTGCCTCTTGATGGGTTTCTTTGTCTTGAAGCCCCTGGAACTCTCTCATTACAATTAATGTATCTCCATAGTATTGTGACCATGTATCTCTGATTTGCAGTCATTGAACATACCAAAGCTGTCAGATGGCCAAGATCATATCTGAAGTATTGTTCTGCCTAACTACCACTGTGTCATTAGTTTTCACATAGAACAATGTTCAATCCCTTGTGCATGTTCCAAAGACACATAGAGGATGCATGTATGCAGCAGTTTTGCACACTACTCCTGATTTCTCTACCATCTCCCTCAGGCTGTCTTGTTCAAATCCACATGGTGAGCCCTCTACTTTTTTTTTTCCCTGACTGTGCTGGATCTTAGTTTTAGCATGAGGGATCTAGTTTCCTGACCGTGGATCGAACCCAAGGCCCCAACATTGGAAGCACAGAGTCTTAGCCACTGGACCAACAGGGACATCCCAGCCCTCTACTTTTGAGTCATCTAATTTGAACACTGCTACTGCTGCTGCTGCTGCTGCTGCTAAGTCGCTTCAGTCGTGTCCGACTCTATGCAACCCCATAGACGGCAGCCCACCGGGCTCCTCCGTCCCCAGGATTCTCCAGGCAAGAACACTGGAGTAGGTTGCCATTTGTGGTACTTAATTTTTAAGGCCTTGTTGGCTAAACCATCTTGGCAACCTTGGCAACAGTAAGTAGGAAAGTATTTTAGAAAACATAATACTAATATGTTACAAGTTCCTAAAAATGGAAACCATGCCTGTGCCTGATGCAGATTCCATACCTTCTGGAAAGTGATAACTAGCCACTAGTACTTTAAGATACTTTTAATCTACCTGCCCTGGTGGATTGGTTAATTTTTACTTTGTTGCTTTATTTTTTTAGGTTGTGACATTTATAAACATGGAGGTATGCAAAACTCTCTGTGGTCTGAAATTTCTGCCAGGGGATCTGGTTGGGGGTGTTGGAGATGGCACTTCTAGTTATGCCAGGCATCATTCAGCTTTACCCTACCTCTAGCCCAATGGCCACAATGTAGAGTAGGAATAGGCTTGGGGATAGATCAGAAAAAAGAATGGCGGGGGGGAAGTCCCATTCTACTTGAACCCTGACATGGGAGATCATTCCTCCATTATTCCATTAGATTAGCCCCTAAGAATGTATTCATAAAGCTAAAGTTCATAGAGGTAATTCTGACTTCATGCATGGATAAATACAAGAGTTTAAAATACATAATCATGAGTCAATCTAGCCCTTTGTCAGGTCTTATTTCTGTGTTGATTTTAAGTAAGATCTCCCATAAGTATGCAAAGAATCCTTATAATCAAAATAACAACAACCCAGTTTTTGAATGAGCAAAGGATTGAATTGACATTTATCCAAAGAAATACAAATGGCCAGTAAGTACATGAAGGGATGTCCAACATCATTGGCCATTATGTAAATGCAAAGCAGAACAGCAACAAGAGACTATTTTACACCCCAGGATGCCTATAATTTTAAACAAAACCAAAAGTAAGTTGGTGAGGATATGAAGAAATTGTGAACCTCATACATTGCTGACAGTAATGTAAAATGGTGCAGCCACTTTGAAAAAAAGTTTGGCTATACCTCAAAGAGTTAAGATTAGTTACTCTAATGATCCAGCAATTACACTCCTAGATGTGTACCAAAGAGAAATGAAAACATTCACATGAAAACTTGAATGTACGTGTATGTTCATGGCAGCATTATGCATGGTAGTCAAAAAGGAAACAACCCATATATTCATCAACTGATGAATGAATGAGTAAATGTATATCTAAACAATGGAATAGTATTCATTCAGAAGAAGGAAATAAGTACTGATTGTGCTACAGAATGAATGAATCTTGAAAACATGCCAAGTGAAAGAAGCCAGACACAGAAGCCACATACTGTATGATTCCATTGATATGAAATGTCCAGAACAGGCAAATCTGTTAAACAAAAAACAGTTGATTTGTTGTTGCTAGGTGATGTGAAGGGGATTTTCAGTTTGGGGTGATGAAGTTTTCGGGAATTAGTCATGTGAAGGGGATTTTCAGTTTGGGGTGATGAAGTTTTCCGGAATTAGTCATGATGATTGTGCAATCTTGTGCATATATTAAAAACATTCAATTGTACATTTTTACAATGACTTGGGTGAGTACTATGTGAATTTTGTTTCAAAATATTTTTTAAACATTTAAGTGGCGAATTCTGTTTAGAATGATAAAAACTTTAAAAATATTCTACCATGTCTTGATTTCTACTTCCTCATTCTTCTACAAATAGAATATTTACCAAAGATTAAAGTGAAAGTCACTCAGTCGTGTCCAACTCTTTGGGACCCCATGGGCTATACAGTCCGTGGAATTCTCCAGACCAGAATACTGGAGTGCGTAGCCTTTCTCTTCTCCAGGGAATCTTCCCATCCCAGGTATCAAACCCAGGTCTCCGGAATTGCAGATGGGTTCTTTACCAACTGAGTCACAGGGGAAGCCCAAATACTGGAGCGGGTAGCCTATCCCCTTCTCCAGGGGATCTTCCCAACCCAGGAATCGAACCAGTGTCTCCTGCCTTGCAGGCAGATTCTTTACCAACCAAGCTATCAGGGAAGCCCACCAAAGATTAATTCATTGAGATAAACATGAAGAATAATTAAAGGAAACTCATCTAATTAGGCAACTCACTCCTTTAAAGATCAAAGTATAAGTCTCATTTTTCTAAGCAGTGTAGTCGGCGCTGCTATCCGTATTTTATATGTAGGAGATTAAGGGACTGTAGCTAGATGCTGAGTCGACGAACAATGTGACTCAGACCATCTTTCTGCCTCAATAATACTTCTCATATTCAAAGTCTCAGTATTTATAATTGTCTGATGCTCATGCCTAAATACTCCTCAAATCTCCTTTCTTTAACTAAATAGAGTAATTTAAGACTTTATGAACATCAGGTGGCATGAATGTGAAACTGAGATAAGAAACAGGTGTTTAAAATTAGTAACATGTAAGAAAATCTAAGAAAATTCTGGTATTAAGTCCTGTTTGATGGAATATTGAAAAGGTATTTGAAATTTCTAGTAGAGGACATTTCAGGTAGTTACTCCTTAGCATTATCCCAAATGTCCCCAGCTGATTTTTGTCTTTGGTTTAAAAAAAAAATTATAGACTTCAAATTCTTAAGGTTGAAACCAGAGAAAATGAGATTATATGGGGACTAGCTAGAAAAAACATGAGTAAATATTTTTCTGGAAAGAACTTGTAAAACACAATCAGAAACCCAAAATCCTAAAGTTCTGGATCTCAAATGAATTTAGCAATCTCCTGGGATGTGCTTTGAATCTGGGGAAATGGGAGATGGTAGAGGAAAATAGGGCACATAGATAAAGCAAGATAGACCCTATGTTGATAATTTCTGAGGTTGGGCAATGGGACGTGAGAATTACTCTCTCTACTTTTATAAGAGCTTAAAATTTTCTGTAATAAAGGGGACTTCTTTAATGTTACGAGGAAAAGAGTTAAAAAATTTTTTTCTTCTCCCTTAAGTCAAGAACTGATAAAGAATAGTCATTTTAATCACAATGCACTCTCTCAGAAGATATAGCTTCCAATCACATAGTTTGCATGTTTACCTCTATATTTCAATTTTAATAATTCTAGCAAATTTTTTACTCTTGATCACTAAATAGGAGTCTGGAAGGATGGGTAGGAAGTAAGGAAGAAGGAAAAAAGAAAAGACGGAGATAGAAGAGAAGACCAGCAATCAAACTTGAGTCCCATGCATTGAAAAGCACAGTTTTAATTGCTGGACTGCCAGGCAAGTTCCCTTGATCCCACTAAGTCTTAAGAATATGCAAATTTAAATAGCAAGTATTTCTCATCCATTTAGGATGAAAAAAATATCTACAATAAGTGTTGATTATCAGAGAAGATCACTGATCTTCACTGGTGATACCAAAGGAGAGACCAGACATGGAACCCAGTTCACAGATGAAGATGGTTGATCTTTTTATCTGAATTCAAATTTATCTAGACATTCTACTTTTTACTTGCTCAATCTGAGAACTCTCCATCCATTCATTTGGATGAATCTTGTTAACATTATGCTAAATGAAAGATGTCAGGCACAGGCCACATATTGTATCATATTGTATCACTCCACTCCACTTATATGAAATGTCCAAAATAGGCAAATCCACAGAAGTAGAAAGTGATTAGGGGTTACCAGGGGAAGGGGTATGGGAAGTGGGGAGTGATGGAGAAAGGATTTCTTTTGGGGATGATGAAACTGTTCTGGTATTAGATCATGGTGATGGTTATACAACCTTGTGAATAAAAGCTACTGACCTGTACACTTTATGGTATGTGAATTATATCTCAATTTAAAAAACTAATAATGCTAAGTGTTACCACTTACTGAATGCTTCAGGGCCCCACACTTAGCTGAAGACAACCTAGTGAGTGCATGTCTTTGTTCCTACTTAATAAGAAAACCTAAATTCAAGGAGATTAAGTGC